CATAGTGTACCCATTGTTTATTAATCACACACTGTTACCCCAGCTTTCACACCATTAAACCAGGGAGCTGATTAACCCGAATAACCAGACGATCGTAACCCTCTGTTACACCCTCCGTTTTTATTCATGTAAATTTTTGATTTTCCTACGACTCACCACAAACAGAACAAAACAGATTTGAGCGACGGAACCTCAGCTCCCGACGGTCGCGATTCGGCAATCACCCAACCACGGCCACCTTGACCTGATCGTGTTTTCAACAGCTGTCGTCCGTGGCGCTGTTGTTGGAGCTGCAAGTGTAGTGCGTGGGAGTTCATGGCTAATGTATTTCGGAATGTACGTCATCGAAGTAGTCGCCATATGACGTAAATCCTAAAACGCAGGCAGCCGTATTGTGAATGGAAACGGGTCGGTGTGAGAGACAGGTGATGATAGGTTAATACGGATAATATTTTAATAACCGTTCACATTTTTGTTTGTTTATTGATTACGGTGAATAGTATCGGAAATATAACTAGTCGATAAATATAATGCAAATAATTTAGCCAATCATAGTGCGTTAATTTTAGCCAATGAAACAACGTCTTTAATAGTTATTTACCAATCAGCTCGTTTCCCTAGTACCCAATCATGTACAAGGCCAAAGTCACTTTTCGCCAAAATGCAAGGAATGTAAAACTTGTGTATATAAGTGGGTGCTTTGACACACCACGGCAGGAGTTTTCAATAAAGTCATCTGTTATAGTGTACACCAGTTCGTCTCTTGTTATCCACCCCTGAACCTCATCATAACAATAGTCGGAAAATCATGGCATCGCTATCCTATTAAAAAAATCAAAAACCGACAAAAAAGTGTATTGAAAATAATTATTATGCGCCACCATATCGTTAAAATGCTACGGCGTCGTAATTTTGCGGTTTTGCTTGGGGTTTCTGCATAGTTACGCTATTCAAGTTACGCTACATTTCCAAGATGGCGGATGTTTGAACACGAAGGTTTTAGCGAGTGAGTTCTGCTAATTTCCAAATAAACCAAAGCGCATGCGCATTTAAGTGAATCTTACCCCGTGTATACCGGCATGCCGTGTGTGACTGTGGCGCAATGACATCGAACTATAATACATAACACAATTCAAACTAGCCATTCACATTCTGTAACACAACTTCTGTAACATGTCTAAATATGCGTGGAGTATCGATGCGACCGCGTACTGCCTGAGTGGATACGTTGTGGTATCCTCGTAATAACCTTACCACGCATCTCTCCGACCCAGTCACTTGGCGTAGAAGGCACAGAACTGAGTTGAAGGGTGGTGGTCGTCGCGCCACGCATGGGCATATGGGACTTATATGAACAAAGATGGCGTCTTTGACAACGAGTACAAACTGAGACGTTGCTGGGCTTTAACTATGAAATTTCCTTGGTATGATTGACCAGCGGTAATTAGTGCACGTCGCGCCCAGGTCAAAAATCGTACTCATAATTTCCATTAGAAGAGCGCATCGTATTGTGGGAAAATCCATGTTTGTCAACACAAATGTCGCACATGCGCAGCGCGA